TTTATTAACTTAGTTCTGTGTATTTGTAATAAAATAATTACTCTTTCCCAGGCACTGTTGGGCACCATGTATGGTGCATGCCCGTGATGCTAAATGGGTGTTTTTGTGGAGCAAAAGTATTCTGACCAGTATTTCACTCTGCCCTCATTGCACCCTTGAAAATAGGTAGTTCCAACGCAATCTCTGGCTTATTAATGACAACCATTATACCTAATGGTTGTCATAATAATGGTTATCATTAATACTCTGGGCATTATTTTTTAAATTTTTTAAAAATTTTTTTGATTTTTAAAATTTCTCATAAAAGTGGTCCAAAAGAGATTAAAAATCTGCCTTCTGTCACAATTAATATACAAAGAGGCAAAATGTAAGGACAGAGCAGGAGTGAGAAGGTAACAATTCCCACTTTTCTTTGCCATGTTCCATTATTAGAGAGAGACTCTTTTAGTAGGACAATGAAATCAAATTTTAGGCAGGATGTTATCTGCATCACAACAATAGTATTTCTGATCAATGCCTCTTTAAATGATACTTGGTTTCAGGAGAAAACAAGGCTACTGAGTTAGAAACAGGCATATACTGAAATTTACAGTAACCTGCCAGGTAAAATATATAAGACAGAGTAACAAGAACTTAACTTATTGTCACGAACATAAATACTGTGCTAATCTGAGAACTTTATATACCATTAATAAATCATCTGGCAGCATGATAACAGTGTACAGAAAGAATTTTTTTAAAAAATAGCAAATTACAACCTTTATTTATTGATTACTTTGCCAAACATTACACTACTGGAGAGCAAGGAGCTATGGCAGAGGTCACAGACAAGACATCAAAAAAGGCGTAACTCCTATCGTAAGGGGATAAAGGTATAATCCAAGAAAATTTGGGGACTATAAAGTCCATAACTAATTTTTAAGGAATCATCACCAATTCTGGCCCTGACAATTCGTCAAGGATTATCATATGCATGGCACTTGATAGCCAGTGTTCGTGTTCATCTGTTAATTCTTTCAGGTGGAATGCCAGACCAATCTAGGGCTAGCAATATCTTGATATTTAAAAATCAGAGTGAAGAGTTCTCAGAAATGCTAGACACACTAGAAGGCTAATGAGGAATACATTTTGCCCTGCTAGAACACTCATAAACCTGCATAAACCATCAATGAGAATTTAGGAACATATTTGAGCTGATTCTTACCCCTGTATCTTTTAGAGGTTCTACCTTTAGAAAAGAATAGCTCTTTAAGTATTAAAATTAGGGCTTAATGTACATTATAACTAATAGTACTTGAGACGAAAGTAAATGACCCACTACCCCCTCCCAGGTACCAAGAGGGGTTACATTTCTCATTTATCAGCAAGTCATCAGGGCAGGCCAGCTTCTCAATCTGAGATTCTCTCCTGTGGCTGCTTCTTGGTCGATTGAAGGAAACACTTCAATAATGAACCAGCTAAACAAACTTCCCAGCAGCACTTGACAGAGCTACACCTATTCTTCCCATTTCCAAAGCAGTGGAGAATTAATTACCAGTTCTATGGATCTATTGTAAGTATAATAGACTAAAGAGCTATCACAGACACATTTATTGTAAAAGCACAATCCCAAGAGTGTCTAGTGGAGGGCCAAAACGATTAACACAAATGCTTTGTCAGATCAAAGATAAAACCTGCACCGCCCAATTGAGGAATGAATTAGAACAGTGGGTTATCTTTCAAATTAACCAGGGCAGTTAGTGAGGAAAATTTCATGAAAGTGTAATTCTTAGCCTTTGTGAATCCACACAGCAGGCATTCTGCCAGCTGACAAGATGATGAAATTTTCATGCTTAAAAAAGCCCTCTTCATTCCCAATTTAGATTAGCTAGTGCTTCTCTCTGCGCACGCATGAGTGTGTGTGGTGCACACATGAGTGTGTGTGGTGCATGCATGTGTATGTGTGAATGTTGCTCTTCTAGAGCAGTATTGAAGAGGGATATAGGTATCAATTTTTCACTGCAGAACTGAGTCTTTCAAAAACATCACTAAAAGCTTACAGATTAAATTGGCTTTTCATGATATTAAAAAATACAACCTTAACTTGGTAAAGAAGAACAAACAAGGATCAGAGCATGAAATCAACTTTGAATTATAGTTCTCTGAAAGTTCTTCAAGGCTCCCCCAAATTTCAAGATAAAGTGCAAAGTTTTCTTCTTCCGAAAGAAATGAATACATTACTTATGTCCTTGCTGAATGCTTTTAAAAATTTTTTATGTGTATCAAAATTTAAAATGTTCTAGGAATTGAGAATTTCAGGGAATCAACAATACATGGTTGGACGGTAAAAAAATACATCTCTTCTACTGAAAGAGCCAATACTAAAAGATTAAAATATGATAGTAGATTGATTTTCAGATAACTATACTTTTAAAAATATCTGTTACATCATTTACTAATTCAGTCTGGAGTACTGATTCATAACAGAAGATACCAAACTATGTGACATATCTTGCCAAAATTAAAGTGATTTAGATTTATACTTTGTTACACTAAACATTTCTGTCGTCCCCCCCCCCCCAATCTAATTTCTCAGTAATCTAGAACTGAGCTCCTTGACAGGCTTAGGGTTTGGTCAAGCACCATATTCCACTTATCTTCTTCAAGTTTCTTGCTTCTTGAGATGACTTCTTTCAATGTAGGCTGCCTTCCCTTGCAATGATTTTAACACTAAAATAAAAACATTTGAGATTCTGGTCCTTCTTCCATAAATAATTATGACATTCAATGGATAGTATTTTTATGTTACAAAATATAAAGAAACATTTTGGTAATTAGCTTCAGAGAATTTAACCTCACTCCTTAACATCAGTATCCTTGCCTCCAGTACATTTGATATATGTCTCCAGTTGTATTATCATTGCTGTGATGCATCCCACTGAACTAACTCAATCAGCATTACTCAAGGACAAAGAACAAAATAAACTCAGTTCCATGGCCTTCTACTAGCAAAAGTTTCTTTTAAGTTTGGAGTCAGGGGGAAATAGTACAGTCTACCAATGAAGTACAGTAAAACATAAAGGTGAGCTTTTTGCATAAATTGCAGATTTGAAACATTTCCTTAGCATGGGGCTGTGAAAAGAACAAATAATGGATTTCTTTCTCCACCATTCAATCATGGATGATTAAGATCAGAAAGCAGAAAAAAAAGTTCCTAATTTTGAGGATAGTCATATTAATCTTCAACTGCAGGAGTGACATTTGGGCTATTTAATTACAAATCCTTAGAAAAGTCAATTAAAGAGGGAGTTAAGTACAAAAAAATGGTGCTTGTTAGTGAAATGGCTGGGGTACAAGACACTTAAATGCTCTAGAAACCTTGTATTAACTACCTAAAAATAGGTTACTTGACTTGAAAAATACTTTCATAACCACCACAACACATACACACCTAATTAGGTGAAAATTCAATCTTTAAATTCAGGCACATTTCTAATTATAGAGAAGATCATTTTTCTGTCTATCCCCAACTTAGTCAAAACAAATGGTTCTTTCTTATAGAAGGAAATAGACAAGTTTTTTCTAGTATTAACATTGCCATGGTAAAGACTTTGATAGACTAAACACAGAGAGAAAACTCAGAATTCTTCTCAAGAGTCAAGCATCATACTCTGCTCAAAGAGGCTGGTAAATGAGAAGCTGAATAGTTTTGATTTGGGCTCTTTATGCTAAATAAAGGCCTAACATTTCAAGTGCTGAACGTTTCATCTACTGCGGAATGTGACCCCACAGATAACCTTTATTCCTATCCAACTGTTCATTAAGTGTAGCAAAACACTACTTGCTAAAACTTTCCAGATTTCCCTAAAATGCAGACAAAATTATTATTTTAAAAAATCCTCAGGGAAACTTACTTGGCTTTTTCTTTTTTTACAACTACTTCTACACCAAAATCAGAATACTGGAACTCTATGTTTTCACTCTTCATCTTAATGACTTAATATTTGTCTTTTACATAATGAATTCTACATCATGTTATGTGAAATAATCTCTTACTATTTCACAGGAGATGCTATGCAAGAAAATGTAATGTTATACATTATTTAACAAGTAAGAAAACACAGAATGATACTGGTAATGGACATGAGTCTTACTGCAACTTGAGCATTTTTTGGTAATACCTAGTTGATGTAGTTTCTTTAAAGAAGATAACAGTGAACTTTCAAGTAACAGAAAATTTGTTTACACGACAAATAAGGTAAGGAAACACAAGAAAACTCAAAATGGGAAATGTGGGGGCCTTTTTAATTTTAAAAGAGCTAAAATTCATATGAAATGTGTTCAAAACAAAACAAAACCTTGAATAAAACTAAGACCATTCACTCACTGTTCTCAGACTTTTACTATATATTAATGAAAATTACACATTCTCTCTCTCTCTCTCTCTCTCTCTCTTTTGGTACAGAGGATTGAACTAGTGCTTGCCAGCTAGGTGCTTGTGCTGCTGAGCTAAATCTCCAGGCCAATGTTCTTTTTAAAACACCAGATAAATTGTACTTACATTTAAAAGGTGTTTGTTTTGATCTCCTCAGAAAACTAGGCTAGGAAACAGTTTAGACTGCCACATAATCATAAAGTATCAGGTAGTGGGCAGTTCATTAAAATCACCACTCTTGATTTTACAGTTCTACTTGCCTAAGGCAGGCAATACTGATATTTTTCCTTCTCTGTGATCGCTTTATTTAGGTAACAATACACAAAAAGTTTCTTTCCTGATTTTGTTACTATTATTTAAAATATGGATCATTAATGAAAGAGATGTTATGAGCATGAGAAAAGCAAATCATTTGTATCCTACTATGCCAAAATTACATATTTGCCAATTTTTATTAATAATAGTCACCAAGAAGTCTCTCCAAAGTCTTTTCAAAATTTCAGTTTCATAAAAACCAATAAAACAAATACTACACCTCAATAAGTTGTATAGGTAAAAAAACAAAAACCTCATTATAAATACTTACATCATAGTACTTTTTAATGCATCGTCTGATGTCCATAATCAATCTGTTGCTCAGCTGTACTACAAAAGTCAGAGGTGAAGCCTTACAATCAATATTACTGCAACGATATAAGCTGGGCTCCATATCAGTTCCCTACAGAAATCAGGACAGACAAATAAAAAAATTATCATTACTGAAAAGTTATGGAAAGGTTTTTGTGTTAAAAATCTACATGCTCCCTGGTGTACAACATTTTTAATTTAATTTATTTTATTGGTTAAAGTTTTAAATTATTTTATTTTAAAAAGAAAAACAGAAAAGGATAGAAATAATACAGAATTTCAAGAAAGAAAAAAGTAGAGAATTAACACTAGTTAATATATTGCATATTGTTATCTCAGAACTACTTGTTCAGGTTACAAAATCTAGACACAAAAGTGATCAATCAAACAATGGTAGCACAAACTGTTCTTTTTGATGAACAGAGAGATTAGTACTATAGTTATAAACATTATTTTCTCAACTATTTTCCTGGCAAAAACCCCTTTAGTTACATAGACCTTCCTTTTTTGCCATAATCATAATGGAGTAAGAAGACCAATGTAAAACTTTAAAATCACTATTTTTACACTCAATATATGACAGATTTTATGGGTAAAATAATTTTTCCTCTGAAAGTACAGAAAAATCATATTATTTGAAATAAACATCCTTATGAGATACTGATCAAAATTTTAAATTTGCATTCATTCATTCATTCTAACCTTGAAGATACAGCAAGAGCTCTTATGACATTAGTTTGTTTTCACCCTATCAACTCAATTAGAATAAAAGCTAAAAATTAACATTTTGTGCCACAAAAACAGTGTCACTTATTGTTAGATTTGCAAATCTAAAATTTTTGTTTCTCAAAAAAATGAAATGTACACAAAGGGGAGAGAGGCAGGAGGGGTAAAAATATGAAAGAATAACTATAGGTAATTGAAGAAAGTGTTTTGTTATGTTGTGCTTTGTTTTAAACAAAGACAAAACAAATATATAGGAAAATTGTTGGGGTTTCTGAAGCATTTGTTTTCCTTCTGGATACTTTAAACATCTTGGTTTCCTGCTCCAATCTGGTACATAACCCTATCCGCCACGCTAAGCAATTCCAGGTGGAGGAGATTTTAGAGCTTGACATCGGCTCTTCCACAGTTAGCCCATCTGCAAGTCGTCAAGCCTCCATGCAATTAACTATCTTATTTACAGCTGTAATGAAGCAAAACTCAAGGATTTAGCAAGTATTGCTGATCTGTGTCTGCCTCTTCCTTGCACTTGCTTCCAAAGACTGCTTTGTTTTGAGTCAAAAAAATGCAAAACATTTGCTGTTTGTCCAAATTAACTTAAAATAATTACTTTTAATTTAGATAAGGGATTTCTTTTCTTTGGGTTTCAAGGTTTTACAGTTCTCCTGCCTACTCATTTGCCAATGGCTAGTACATATACAACACTAGTGGAATCAAGTAAACTGGCCAAGTGTCAAGTCCTGATCCAAGGTCAATGATACATTTTTTGGCAGTACTTCTTGAGAGGAATGTCTCCCTGTGGCTTTTTAAATGTCTGATATGCAAAGACAGCAGAAAAGATAAGAAAACTACCTTTGTCAAAAAGGAGGTAAGTGGGATGTGTAAAGATAAACAAAAACTTCCCCAAAACACTTAGTTCCCATTAACTTGATTTAAGATAAAGGAAAATATTGCTCTAAGTCTTAATGAATCAGGGTTGGGAGTGGAGAAATACAGGCTACTAATTAAGGAATTGCAATAAAAATACTTTAAGATAATTAGAATTTTTAAGTGATTCCATTTTAAAACCAAGGTCAAGCACTCTAAGAAGGCAAAAACAATAAGCATCTTCAATTAAACATTAAAGCAGAAATAAAGTAACTTACAAGGGCAGAATTCATATTCTTTAAAGATACAAAAGCAACATTCAGGTGGGTGCTTTCCCTTTTATATCCTTGTCAAGCAGGGGACTAGAGAGAGGAGGGCAGTTTATACAAATTCACCTACAAGATCAAAGAAGGAACAAAAAAGAAAGAACTAACCGAGCCATCAAAGACACTATCATAAATATTCTCAGTTCCACACGCAGGACATGGACATTTGAATTTTTCACAGTCCCTGTATTTCTCTTCATCAGTGAGTTGTGCTGGGCCACCAAGTAGAGCATCATTCTCTTCGTCTTTATGATAATGATGAACTCTAAACTGGGCAGGGTCAAGTCCTAGTAATGTAAATCAAAAAACAAATTCAGATGGCTATTTGTCCAAAACACACCCCAAAAGAAGAAAACTCTCACAGAAGAATGGTTTTTAAGTTCATATACACATACATGATAATTTAAACTCAATATGCACAAGAGACTTACCTTTTTACAAGTGATTATAAATCAAACAAGTAATTACAACAATGCAATGCAGAAGTATGCCAGTGGACATGTAGATTCAGAAGCCACTACTCTTATAGTATGTTTTTATTATTTTCTTAAAGTCACAATGAAAAGCCTCAATGAAATGTGCACTCTTATTAAGAAACACCATTAAATTGAAAATAGAATAAAAATTCTACTAAGGAAACAGGTTTACTGCCATTACAACTCCTTCAAGAGTAGACACAACTGCTAACCCTGATTTCAATGCAGTGGTCGATTTCATCTTGGCTCAATAGTTAACAGCATGTAGGTTGCAATCTAATTCAGTGGTTAAAATTCAGTAGCAGCATCTGAGACAAACTGTAACTTTTTTTGGTGTTTGGAATTCAGAAATTTAAAACATGTACAAAAACAATGAATCTACAGATTCTGTGAGCTGACAATCCTGAAACCAAACATACTGTCCATATTTTAATCAAAACCATTAGAAATCAATTGAAGCATAGTTTATGCTATCTTATTTTTAAACATTATTAAAAGAAAAGAGAATTTTAGGCCAGCTAATGTTCCCCTTTCTCACAACATATTTATCAAAATTACTATGTGAATTTATACTGAAAGAAAATTATCCCACATTATTTTCTTAAAACGATCACAGCAATTTCTCAAGTTCTAAGTTTTTGGAAATCTAAGGGAAGAGATCAACTTTTTAAATTATAAACATAAATAACATAGCTAACTGAGGAAAAAGTTAACAAATATCGTAATACCTCAGAATGTTTTAAAGCTAGCAATAGCTGTATAGGTAGATAATCTAACAGATGTATCCAGAACTCAATGACAAACTCTTAAGTCCCTTTTGGTCAGTTTTCAAATGACATCAAAAATCATAAATACATAAGGCCAATTTTCAAACAGTGGAAAGATTTCAAACAAAGAATAGATGTGCAGTCTCAGTTTTCTCACCTGCAAAATAGAGGCAGCAACACTGACCACACAGTTAAGAAGTTTGTATGAGACAACAAAGTATAAACCTAGTTTTGTGATGTTTATACTCTGATGCAAAAGCACTCAGTAATTGTCACTTGAAAGGAAAATAAAATAAGGAATAAATATCATTTAAACTGAAATCACCCCAGATTATACATTTAGAAAAACATACGACACACATGCTCATGCTACACAGAGCAAAATTCCTCTTTGGAAAAAAAAGTATTTCCTACAGTGACATAATATGATAAAAGCAAAGAATAGCTATTCAGAATAATTTTAAAAATTGTTCACCAGTGACATAACATGTGTCACTTGTCCCCAGGACTCCTCTACATTTTATTTTACAAGTTACTTTTCTCCTAGAGATAAATAACAAATTAGAAAATTTGTGGAAATACATACCCTCACAATTAAATATAAGGAAAGGCAGACAAACTGAATGAGACCATGCCAATGAATGAGGTCATTTTTCTTCCATAAGAGATAACTGTTGCTAACTCATTAAACTCTAGTTGTGAATTCAAGTGTACTCACATAATGCCTTGCTTTATCTGCAATTATGACAAAATAGCTTCACCTTTTCTCTGTATGACTGCTAATTTCCAAGACCAATATTAATAAAAAAGGGAAAAATTAAAAACAAGGTTGCTTTGAAAGGTAAGCCGCCTTCATAGTCCAAAAATCAAGAAACAAAACAATGACGGTTCATTCATGCACAAAATTGACTGGCTTGTGCAAAAGAACCAACAGAAGTTGCGCTCTGCCCTTCCCCACCAGCGATGGTTTGCTCCAGGCACCCAAGCACATGAAACTGCCTGTACTGGCCCAGGGTAGCCTGCTGGCCGCAGAAGCCAAAAGTGGTCTTGGCCCATCTTGCTAGTCGGAGAAGTGCCCCCAAACCGGCTGAAAGTTGTAGAGAAATGCCAGATCTTATGAAATATACATCTATTCTCAATGTCCATTTTCACAAATGCCTTTTATCTTCCCATGACAGTAATAAGGCCAACTGGCCTAGTTAATGACTTCAGATTTATTGAAGAGGCTTCAATTGCAGCACTTTCTTAGTCCTATTTCAATGCTGAATTTTAAAAATGTAAAGAGAAAAGAAACTGTAATGATCTTAAATGATCCTTATCCAAATTACTTGAATATAAAAACATCATTAAAGTATGATTTTCCTGAAAGGATAACTGCAAACAGGCAAAGTAAAGAAGACTAAATTAAGTGTGTGTGTGTGTATATATATATATATATATATATATGGCCATGCTGACTGAATCCTGTTTGAAAAGATGGAAATTCAGGCTTAAACAAACCCCATACTTTTCAAGATATAAATTTATTTTTCCTAATCCTCATGAAATTGGTAATAGCCTATTTTGAAGTTTCAACAGACTTAAAAGTTTTATTGCTTATATCACAACTCTTTAAGGCTAGAGTGAAACACAACAGGGAAAAAAAAGTATCTGGTGCTGCCACCTAGAGGTAGAGATTTTGAATTTTAAAGTGTGCAAAACAGTTGCTACATAAAGCTCCTTTTGTAATCACTGTCACTCCAAAAGTAAACACTTCTGTCAGAAATGACATTAAAGCAAACTCTTCATCATCACATTTTCCCTACATGCATATACATTGTATAATTAATATTAAATTGCTCACCATAGAGTACATAACTGTATTAGTCTTGGAACAGAAAATGTAAAACTATATTCCAAATTCCTTACCTCTTCTACTGGGAGCTTTCTCTGAGCAACTGGCTTAAAGAAAAAACAACTTTATGCCCCACTTGAGAAAAGTAACTTCCACTTCTACTAGACTAGTTTTTGATAAATGAATCATTTGGTCAGGCACAGAATAAAAGGAATAACCTGCTTGGGCTTTGAAAAACCAGTTATCTGGAGGAAGAGCAGCTGTGGCTTCCCCCCACAAATAAGCAGAGATGATGTATGCTTTAATTCAATCCTGTGACTTGTAGTGATCAAATCACTTGTGCTAGGATGGGAAGGACAGAAGAGGTAGTGCAATGAAATTAAAATACTGTCATTTATAATTAGAAATTTTCTAGGATCTCGCATTTTTTGGCAACAGGATCAAAGCTCTCATGTTTCAAGAAGTATTTATAGACGTAGCATCACAGGCATTGGGGTGGATGAGTTAACAGCACTGTTTTTACTTAAGATAACCACAGTCTTATCACACATATCCTTGTCGTGACATCTGGCCCAAAATTATTTTTTTCTACCATTACACTTCTAACAATTGATGCTCGATTTTAGAATGTTCTCCTGTCCCTATTCCCAAAGAGTAAATAATTCATAATTCAAAGCATATGACTATTTGAGAGGCTGATGCATTTGATCAAATATTTTCCTTCCTCCGAAAGACAAAGTGGCCTCTATTAATATAACTGTTAAAGACTACAGTAATGCTTTTTTAGTTATGTTCAAGTAATGTTCAAGCAAGTGGGAAAGGGAAAATTTACATAAATGAAATACCAAGTGAATAAATCAAGTAACTAGTATTCCCAAGCAGTTGTTTATAATATGAATCATTTAAGCCACTGAGAAATCTGATTAAAAGAATCGATCTCTCTTGCTACCTCCCTTTACAGTACTGGAGATTAAACTCACCATCACACTGAGCTATCTCCCCAGCCTATTTTTATATTGAGACAGGACTGAAGACCCAGGCTGATCTTAAACTTACGAATCTTTCTGTCTCAGCTTCCCTGAGTTCTGGAATTACAGGCATGTACCAACCACACCTTGCTTTTCAAAGGAATTTTACTGTGAAATTTTTCTTTTAAGAAGTTTCACTTTTAGGGCTGGGGATTTAGCTCAGTGGCATAAGTGCCTGCCTTGCAAGCGCATGGTCGTGGAAAAAAAAAAAAGAAGTTTCACTTTTGCACAAATCTAGGCTCTCAAATATCTAGACTTCACAGAGCACAATATATAAAATGCAAATATGGTATGACTAAAGAAAAACTACTCAGTGAATTTTTAAAACATGAAGGCTATATCCATAAAAAGCCCTATATAACAAGGTTCATAGTAGTTTCATTCATAACAGCCAAAAGTGAAAACAATTCACGTGTTCATCAATAGTACGTAAGAAATGGTACAATCTATTACAAAATACTACTCAACAATGAAAAATACTGATACAAGCAACAAGATAGATTTCCAAAATATTACATGAAGGAAATTTAAAGCAAAAAGTATATGCTGTAGGAAATCATTTATATAAAATTATACAACTGGAAAAACTAATGTACAGTGATAGAAATAAGATGAGCAGTTACTTTTGCAAGAGAGCATTGAACAGGAAGAGACATAAAGTACATTCTAGGGTGATGGAAATGTTTTGAGTCTGTGTCCTGATAAACTAATTGTTTGACACTCTTAAAATGTTAATATTTCATGATAAATTAGGTAAATCATATTTGAAAAGAAAAGCACACTAACCAGGAGATGTTTGCAGTATGTATTTCCAAAGAACTCATATTTAGAGTATATAACGAATACCTGCAAATCAGTAAGAAAAAGACAACCCAACAGAAAAGTGTAAAAAGACTCAAAGGAGCACCTCATAAAAGGAGACATTCAAATGGCTAAGTAGCATGGGAAAAAATGTTCAACTTCAGTCATCTAAGAAATGCAAATTAAAATCACAATGTTATACTAATATATAAAATGTAAAACATAGAAAATACCAAGTGCTGGTAAGAACATGGAGCATTTATACACTGCCAGTAGAGAGTACAGATTAGTAGACTCACTTTGGGAAACTGGTAGTATCTACTAAAGTAGAACATACTATTGCCTAGCAGTTCTGTTCCTAAGTACATACGCAACAGAGAT